TTAGCTCCACCGTCCTCAACACTGTGATTTACTCTGGTGTAAGTGAGAAGAGAATACAACCTATAGCTCCCACGGAAAATTTCCAGAGATTTTAGAATTCTTATATAGGGCTCAATCGTGACTTTGCCATGAGTAGCATGTACACACAGGCCAGCATGTTATTGCATTGCCTCAGGAGTGGCTCAGAAAACAGACTGTCTCAGAGAGTCCCCTCCCCATTACCACTTTCTCACTTCTTGCTCACCTGCATAAGACAAAATAATAGCTCTGAGGAGGCAGCTTCCCTTCTGGGCCGATACCCACCATGTGGGTAGCTGGTGCAGGGAAATATGAGACACCTTTTGCCTCTTTCCCTTAATAATTGTTCCTGAACCTCAGTGTAAATACACTGAAGACCAGGTGGCAACTTCAATTCTGCAGTCACTTCCCTAGATCACTAGAATTTTCTCTCTCATCCTAGCACAACCTGATTCCTCAAAGGCTTCAGGTCTTCTATATCAGCCAACATGTAATCTCACAGTTCGGATTTATAATTAAATCGATTATAAGGCCAGAAGGGACCAAGGTGACCATCTAGTCTGAGCTCCTGAATAACACAGGACATAGAACTTGCCCAAACTAATTCCTGGTTGAATTAGAGCATGTCTTTCAGAAAGACATCCAATCTTGATTCAAAAATTTCCAGTGATGGAATCGCTACCATAACCCTTGGTAAGTTGTTCCAATGGTTAATTAGCCTCACTGTTAAAAATGTGCACTTTATTTCCAGTCTAAATTTGTCTAGCTTCATCTTCCAGCCATTAGATCTTCTTATACCTTTGTTTGCTACATTAAAGGGTCCTTTATCAAATTTCTGTTCCTCATGTAGCTACTTATAAATGGTCATCAAATCACCCCTTAACCTTCTCTTTGACGAGCTAAATAAATTGAACTCCTTCAGTCTTTCAGTATAAGGCATGTTTTCCAAACCTTTAATCATCCTTATGGCTTGTCTCTGAATCCTCTTCAATTTATCAACACCCTTCTTGAACGGTTGACACCAGAACTGGGCACTGAATTCCAGTAGCAATTGCACCAATGGCAAATACAGAAGAAACATGACCTCCCTACTTCTACTCGATATTCCCCTGTTTATTCAGGTAAGCTACTGTTCAGCTGATTATCTCCCAGAATCTCCAAGTCTTTCTCAGAGTTACTACTTCCCAGGATAAAGTACCTCATTCTGCAAGTATGGCCTACATTCTTGCTTCCTAGAATCATGACTTTATATTTGGCAGTGTTGAAACACATACTGTTTGCTTGTGCCCAGATTATCAAGCAATCCAGATCACTTTGTATCAGTGACCTATTCTTTTCAATTTTTATCGCTCCTCTGATCTTTGTGTCATCTGAAAACTTGATCAGTGATGATTTTATGTTTTCTTCCAGGTCACTGATAAAAATGTTACATATCGTAGAACTAGGAACTGATCCCTGCAGGTCCCTATTATAAATATACCAACTCGATTATGATTCCCCATCTACAATTGCATTTTGAGACCTGTTAGCCAGTTTTTAACCCACTGAATGTTTGCAATGGCAATTGTATATAATTTCAATTTCCTAATCAAAATATCATGCAATAGCAAGTCAAATGCCTTATCAAAGTTTGAGTATATTACATCAACACTATTACCTTTATCAACAAAATTTGTAATCACATATTAAAAAAGATATCAGGTTAGTTTGACAAAAATCCGTTTTCCATAAACTCATGTTGACAGGCATTAAGTATATCACCCTCCTTTAATTCTTGATTAATCAACTCCTGTATTGGCCACTCCATTATTTTGCCCAGGATCAATGTCAGGCTGACAAATTTATAATAAGTCCTGGGTCATCTCGTTTACCCTTTGTTAAATATTGGACTAACATTAACTTTAGTTTGATTGGCAGTTATGAAAAGGTCCTCTTGAGGCTATGGACAATTATTTCTTTAAATTTTTATTTAAGAGCTAAAATCACAACTGAAACCAGGATACTGTTAGTATTTTACAGCTTTGAAAGAACTATTTCTTGAAAGAAAGTCAAGGGGGGGGAAATCCATTTCATACCACAGTGCCTGACTGACATCTCCATTGTACTGTCAAGACAAGCCATCCATTCGTCTGAGATTGGTGGATGTGACATTTAGAGAAAAGAAAATAGAAAAAAACCCACCCTTTTTTTCCTCTCAAATTAATAGGCATCGTATGCGATTTTGAAAACTGCTCAGTGCTAGCTTCACTCTTTTCCCCTTAAAATCCATGATAAAATTTCCATTGACTTCCATGGAAGCCGAGGTATGCCACCATTGAGCACTTCTGTAACTTCTACTTGTACTGCCCAGTTTAACATGGAATTGTAGTGATAGGTACTGATTTTTATATTTAGAAAAAAGCATCTTTTCATAAATATTGAATTGTGTTCTCTATATTTGTGCTTATTTTCCATGAGAAAGATAAAAATGCCAGCTATCATTAGAATTATTAATTAAAATCCGAAAGCAGGCAAAAGAATGCCATTCATTTTTTGAAGTTCTGGAAAATGTCCACTTGTTAACCTTTTGACAAATCTAGTCCTATTGAATCAGTAATACTTTTGATAACTTTGGGTCAGACTGCTAACTTTGGGTTAATTCTGATAACTTTGGGCTCAACATCTACACAATTTTACTTGCATCTATTTTCTGAAAAAATTAAATTACAAACAATTTAAGAAGAATTAAATCAGTAATTCTTACGTTCATCATCAATGTAGTCTTTCCAGTCAAACGGAGTCACTGTTACATTAACAAATGTACCATTTTCACCTATTGTGCTGTTAAAGTATGAAGTAATATTTGTTTCCAGAGTAAAATTGTCTGGAGGCCACTGCAAGCATTTATGCCTCAAGTTGCCCATGAACAGCTGCAGCCCTATTAGTGCAAATACACTCAGGCAAAACACAGTCAGAATCATGACATCTGAGAGCTTCTTCACAGACTGAATTAGGGCTCCCACAATAGTCTTCAAGCCTGCAAACAGAAAGGGATTTTTATTATGATGTTCATCACATATTTAAAACATAAAAGTAACAATTTATACCAATAAAGTTAAAAATTTCATGCAGAAGCCCAAATAAATGGCTGTAATGTGTGTGAAATAACATTTTATGAAGAGTTTTATCTCTTGTGAAGATGAATAAATAGCTGAAAGTTTATGTTCATTTGAAATTGTGAATGTAAATGAATTGCACATATTCCAAAACACTTGTTTTAATGCCAAAACAAGTGATTTTGTTATTCATGTTTTACATGAATCTCATGTAAAGAAAAATCTTTCTTTTTTACCATTTGCCAATGGTAAATTTTACTATTTGCCAATGGTAAATTTTACTATTTGCCAATGGTAAATTTTACTATTTGCCAATG